GCTTTTTCAAACAATTGTATTGCTAATATTTAGACCTCTCTGTAATGTTTGCCTCCATTACTTTCTCTCAGTACCTATCAAGCAAGACTTAGCAGTGGAAATGTTGAACGGCGGCAGTATGATTAGGCATTTTCTCTACCCTGCTCCAAACACAGGCACTTTCAAGGATGCATTACCTGTCATCTTCAGACTTTTAGGTTTATTTTTCCCAGTGAACCAGAGTCTTCAAAATGAACTACTCTAAATCCTTTCCAGAATCTCTAACCAAGATGGCTGCTACCTGGATTTCTCCTTAGGTGTCTGCTCAACTGTTGTAGGTGTTTTGTTTGCTTGTTTTTTCTTGAGTGGGGTTAAGTTGACTGCATCTGCCTTCATTTCTTATCAGCATTTCAATTCACCCTTTCTCAGCTGGAACAACATCTGCTAATGTAGATATTAAGGCAAATGTTGCAAGTTTATTATATAGCGTATAATTGTATAAGCCACGTTTTGATAAGCGTAAGCTGACACAGCCTGGACAATTAGAGGTATATTTTGAAGGAGCCAAGTATGCACGTACATCCTTTTTTTCCTACAGCTGAGACATAGAAATGAGAAATCATGAGTCTTTTTTTGGTAGGATGTCAAAGTGATACATGAAGATTTAGTCAGTCTATACCAACGGATTTAAATATGAGACTTGTGACTAACAGTTGTCCTTTGGTGCTGCAGATCCAGGAGACTGGTCACTGCTAGTTGCAGTTTAAGACAAATTTTAATACATTCTGTAAAATTTTGCTTTTTTGTTGTTTTATTCATATTGTGTTGGACAAGAGCAGCTGACAGCCAACCTGTCTGTAGGGTTGTGTTTGAACTGTGCATACATTTCAGAGTTGCTTTAGATTTGTGGTGACAGAGGAGCAGATTTAACGTCTTGATAATTGACATAGCCCTTAGGTCTGTAGGCTGCTTTTGTTGCTTTGTACTGTGAACCCTTGACTTCAACTATGGCCTCAGGCAGGGCTAGCAGGTAAAGCTGACAATTAGTTTTTTCCTCTCTGCAGTGCTTTTGTTGGGCCTGTGATCATCTTTTGTGCAAGGTTCTTGTTCCTGGCATTCTGCTGTATCATCTTTGCTGTTTGCTGTATTTATAAGTCACTGGGAAAAGACAGCAAGGCAGTCTGGGTCACAGTGCTGGCAACATGGTGACATGCTGCTCAGTGTCACTCCTCGATCGAGTCTTTAGGTGTAGGCCTTGTCTCACCTCTCCTTCCTCTTGAAGTACCTGTTTGGCTCCTGCTCAATGGGCAGCTGGCAGAGGCATGATGGACCTCTCTTTGATAGGCTTTAGGGAGTGTTCTGGAAGAAAAGGAGTAGCAGAGCCCCTTACTGAGTCGGCTTTGTCCATTTTTTGTTGGGAAAGTCAAGAATTAAGGGATTCTTTTGGCTACTTTTCAGGGGCAGTGTTAGGAAAGTGGAATTTCTTTTCAGTATCTGGTGCAGCAAGTGAAAGTATTGCTCGATACTGGTTGTACAGCATATATCATAGGCTTCATATATTGGGAGTATTAATTACTTTCAGGCTGGATAGTAAAATAACATTACAATTTGATCTAGGGATTTATCTAAAGACCTCTAGGTATTTCTTGTCAATCAATTCTTCATTACAATTCAGTTGCTCAAGATAACAGCCTCTGCAGACTGAATCAGCTTTAATTAATATTTGAGTATATCTTACGGTCCTAGTATGTTGAAGGATACCTCTTTCCTTCTCGAGTTGTTTAGAGTTAGAACTGTGGGTAGCTCCTAGTGGGAAACTTAATAGTAAGGTCCAGCATTTCTAGAGCTTTCTCTTCCTTTTGCCAACCAGATCCCTGACTTGGAAAGCCAGTTTTTGTGTAGGGTCATCAATAATTACGGCAAAACTTATGGAGAAAACTGGAGGAGGCTTCAAAAGCACTAAAAGATCTTCAGTGGGCAGTTGCAGAAAGGCCCAGATGGTTTGACAGTATGACTGTGGTTTGCTCTAGAAATAATTTGATCCAATAAGTATTAATCAAGGAAGCTGAAGAGCTTTTAGATTGTCAAACAGGATCCTAACTAAACATTGAGCCTGGTTATAGACTACTGTCCACTATAGCCCACCACTTTTTCAGCTTTTTGATCTTCAAGTGTCTCTTTTCATGTAGGCATGATGAATATTGAAAGTTGTACATTCCTCAGGTGAAACATATATAACATTACTTATATTACTTGAATAGTTCAAGATTCTTTCTTTAATGATAGCACATTATAAAATCAAAACAAAGCATGAGATAATTTATATTTGGAGTGCTGCCTGGGATAGGTGCCTGTAGCGTGATTCCTTCCTCTTTCTGCTTGTCGCTTCATGAGTCATTATTCTCTGCCCACTAATGGACCGGTCTGTCTCTTTGTCAGTCCCCCAGACCATCTGCTTTAGGGAGGACTGAAACAGCAAGCACAGAGGGGATCTTCCTACCCACATCCCTGGGCCCTAGGTTGATGAAATCAGCTAGGAGACTTAACCTCCCTCCTGACTGGTGCACCCAGCCTGACGGCTAGCTCTGCTCTGAGTAAAATGGGACTCTGGGACCTTTTACATGTGTGCTTGTGTGCATAGACATTTGTATGGGTGAGCCTAAAAATAGCTGAAAGAAGACAACTAGGAAGAGCTTGCAGCATAGCCCAGGAGGCCACTTTGTCCTGCACTTGACATACAATTCCTGTTCTCCTCTTATGTGTTCTGGAATGATTTTGTTTGCAGTAGATTTAGGACGTATTTCAAATGAGTCAGACTTGAGACATGACAGTCTTTCCCAGTACAAGCTGAGTGCCAACGCTATGATTATTCTTTATATTATGACCTGAGACAGTCATATCAGAAACCTCACAGGTAGTTTGTCTTTGGTGATGATGGTGATGATTCTGACTCTTTCAAATACATATTTTCAAAATCACTTCAATTAAAGTTTTTCTTTCAATTTATGAGGTTCTCTGAAGACTTCACTTCCAGCATCTTGAAGACTGAAGGTCAAATGTTTGTGTTTTCCTGAAAATCTAGTAAATATCAGTAGATAGAATGATCGGCTAACATCTACCTCCTTATATGACTCTCTGCCAGTGTGTCTGCTTGCTTGTATCACCTTTATATCTTTTCATACTAAAATCTTATTTCAGGAAAAAGGAAAAGCAATAGCAGAAGTTCTTCAAGAGGAGGTTCACTGCTGATCTGATGTTGCAGGAGAATGTGCAGCCTGCAAAATTAATTCTGACTACTTTGTCAGTCCTTGACCTTACATACAAAATCTCTGCTGTAGGTCTTGCTGTTGACTCATTTAAAAGATGTCTTTAATTAGATTCCTCCTCTCCCAGTTTCTGTGCTTAAAAAGAACTGAGATGGACTTTTCAGTAAACAACTTTAGCCGTGTAAAAATTTATATTGTCATTCATTCTCACTAATGTTTTAAATCACTGAGCTATTTTTCTTTGTTGATACTGCATTTAATATTTACAAAAAGTAAGAGAAGAAAAATCATGTCTTCTTTTCAAGATGTTTATTCTGTGTCAATTACTGATTCTGCTGATTTATAACTTTCCTTCCAGAATCAAGAAGAAAACAATTGCTTAACGATATTTTATTTGTAGTGCAAATCAGATCTTTGACTGAGTTGACTGTGTTAATATATTGTACTAGAGCTGCAAGAAGTCAGATTTAAAAATGGACATCTGTGAGCCCTGGCTTGAAAGAGTCTATGTTTGCTATGTAGAGTTTTGCAAATACACAGACATTGTGCTACACTGTTTCAGGAGAAGTGAACCCTGTTTCTATTGGTTCTTTAATAATATTTTAATGTATTACTATTCTTAACATCAGTGATGTCTTTTCTTTAAAGAAAAGATAGAAATGGTACCTATTCTGGAAGAGGTTATTGTTATTATTCATTATTCAGGTTACTTTGCATAATGAATTGGGCATGACAATCCTGACTGGACATATAGGAAGGGACTTGCAGATGGATGTCTTTATTACTCATGTGAGGCATAGCGTGAGTCTCCCGTTGTTTCTGCTCACTCAGTACTTTGTCTGAGTAGGGATTTGAAGGACATGCTTGATTGTAAAAAGAACCTGAGAATTTTCTGCAGACCACTTTCCAGTTTAGCTTTGAATTAAAAATGTAGAAGTTTGACTGAAATACTGCAGAATCAAGTGTTTGTATTATAATGTGTTTTACTTCATAAAACTTGAGATCATCTTCTTGGGCGATGACCAGCTGTTACAGATAACTGAAATATATCACCGAGACCTACCTTAAACAAGCTATGCTCTTTTTTGAGTTGATTTTTCCTTCTCAATAGTTGTTTTGATTTAATGTGCCACAATACAGAATTAAATGCAGTATAGCTTCCTGTCAACTTCACCTAAGCTGTGTCTGAAATTTGGTGATATTACTGCATATTCAAAATATTAGAATATTTTCCCTAGCACCAGATGTTCTAACATGTAGTGTGAATTTGGATAATGGTGGTAGTATCCAAGAGTACAAGGAGACTCACTGAAATAGAGGGCTGCTGAGTAGCTCAGTGTGCATTGCTCTGTCTGTAGCTTGAAGAAAACCAGTGGGGCTAAAAAGCTGGAAATTAAAGTTCCAGTTGTCTTGTCAGCATTCCACATGGTAAGAGTAACTCACTGAAGAGAGCCTGCAGAAATATAAGGAGCTAAGATAAAAGGATAGTCAGCAAAAGGAGAAATGCTATTTCTGAAATAGTCTAGGAAGAAGAGGGGAGAAATGTGGTTTGAAGATACACCCTGAAACTTTTTTTCCCCAAACCTTTGCTCTGTCTGCATTAGTTGAAAGCTTGCTACTAGTTTGCTGTTCATCACGTAAGGTACACTGAAGATGTATGTGTTGTAGTACTCTGCTGTGATTTTAAGCTTAAGCTTTGATTCGTCCTCTAAGCCATGGATCTTTCTCTAGTGTTTTGAACGAAATTACTGCCAGATGTTTCTCTTTTCAAACAAGCTCTGACCACTGTTTCCTTCACTTAAATTATCGTAACTGTAACCACACTTCTGAAACTTCTTCTTGACTGGATTATTGCAGTGCTTCATAACTGATTACCCAGCAAATTCAGCCGAAGTTTCAAACAGTACAAAAAACCCAAAGGACTGCTCGTTTGTTGGCCAAAAAGGTACTGGTTCTTCAATGCAGATTCATCTGTTTCCCTTTGCCGTTCAAAGTTACGACATTGCGCACTTGGAGTCTGTAGTGAAACTCCACAGAAAATATTTGCATTCTTCAATTAAAAAAATTCAACTCTGTCTAAATATAAAGGTTTCAGGGATTTCAATGGTTTAATTGCAGAAACATCATCTGCAGAAAGTAAATACTTTTGTCTCCAAAAATCTTCTTAGTTGAAGTATAATTTTTCAAGGGAGGGAACTTTCAAGCAACCTTAATGCCAAGATTGAAGAGAATGGAAGTTCAAAGATTTGGTATTCATTTCTTCCACTGGCCTGTCAGAGTTTGGAAAGTACTGGCTTAAACTTAGTAGTCACTAATGCACCCTTAGGGCAGAAGAGCTGCTCTGTCATCAGACGATGCTTTTAATTCAGTAGTATTGCACAAGGAGAGTTAGAACGCAAGCAGGGCAGATTGATTTCTTGGCGTTTGATGCATAAAAGTTTCTGCATTTAGATTGGTTTGTGTGCTGGGGGCGATTGGTAATCAACATCCTCAGTCACCATCTGTGAAGTACAGAGGTGTATTGGTTCAGCACTGGTTGAAACTATTGCACGTTATTTATAAAAGTAGATACTGGCATTTAGTTCAATTTTCACTGCTTTTTGCTAAATCTCTAGTTAATCACATGGAGAAGCTGTGTATGAGGAAGACAGATGCTTGCTAATGAAAACAAGGCCTTGATGTAGCCCCTTTCAGGGTAAAGATCTTTTTCCATTGTTGTCAACACTGTATAGTGAAACATCAGTCTCTTTACCTCTCTGCATAAATAAATACATAGATTGGGAATAATAGGATAGGATTGTCTAATTTGCCTGATCTTTTGGAGGCTTTTCAGGTTCACATAAAATGTAATTTTGCTGTATGGTTGAATTTTTGGTTTTGAATATTCCTAGGAAAAGGGTATGATGACTTTATCTAGTGCTCTACTTTCTTATTTCTTTACTCCCTCCCCTAAAAAAAAAAAACAAACCAAATACACATAGTCTATTCAGACAAAATGTAGAGATTTTTTTCATCGATTAGTGGGAGATATCCATCAGTCTTACACTTTCTTCGTTTCTAATTTTCAGATGTATATCACCAACACAGTAAAAGCCAGAGGAACAAGGCTTGCAAAACCTGTTCTGTGTTTGGGTTTAATGTGCTTGGCTTTCCTTACTGGAATCAACAGAGTAGCAGAGTATCGAAATCACTGGTCAGATGTAATAGCAGGATTTATAATCGGAATATCTATAGCAGTATTTTTGGTAAGTCTGTTTCAAACTTCTGTTTGAAAAAATCAGTGTATATCTTTGTATCTTTTAAAAAAAAAATTGGTAGCCTTGAATTTTCAGAAAATTAAATGAAAAAAGAGGTGTTTCTAATTTTTTTTAATTAATTATCAGTTTCCTTAGTTATATTTACATACACTCAGAAATGTGAAGTCAAGAAAGGACTGATCAAATAATTTCTTTTGACTTCCTCATAAACCAGATTATAGAATTTCAACCGATAACTTTTGTATCAAGCCCCACTTTAAGCGAGTGTATATCCTTCAGAATAACATCTAGTTATGACTTCATGGTTAAAGTATTACATTCAGCATAGTGATACCTACACAGTCAGAGAATAAATAGCATTTCTTTTCTGGCTTTAAAGTAACCCTTTTGAATTTCTTTCGTGCTAATTCAGGTTGACACTGAAATTTTATGTTATTCTGTATAAAAATAATCTTTGGTTAGCCTTTTCCTTCTCTGAACTGTGTTCCAAAACCAGATCATTAAGTCATAGTTCACAATGACTAGTGTCTATGTCAGAAAGTTGCCGCTAATCTATTAACCACCTTCACTGATAACTTCAGTGCAGGACTATGGCATAGAATAGTCACTGCTGTCTACTGCCTGCAAGTTTGTCTGCTTGGCAGCTTGTACTAAATATGCCCTTGAAATTTTACCCATGAAAACACTTTTGAGCTTGACTCTTGGATCTCAAGGTCTTGATCTCAAGATCTTGGATCTGAAGACTTGACTTGGCATAGAACTCTCACAGGGATGGCTGAGGTGGGTGTTTTCACTTCTCTCAGAAGTGTGAGGGCAGCTTTAGGACTCCTTTAAAATATACCTGCTTGCACTTCCAAATGTTCCTTTCCACACAAAGTGTCCAGCAGTTATATTTGGTTGTTGATTTTTTTTTTTAAGATGTTTTTCCATTCTGTTTGTTCCCCTAAAGTTGTAAAAGGAACAGAATAGAAAAGAAATCTGTCTCAGCATTTTTTCTTATAATTTGTGATGTATATTGCATAAACTCCTTTGAGTAGCATGACATCAAATTTAGTTGTGTTTTGAAGAAAATACGATGGGCAAACATTGCTGCTTGGCTGAGTGTCTGAATTGGTAGAAACACTAACAAACTGGTATATATCATGTTCCTAAATCCGTGTGTGAGAGTCACTGCTGCCCTGAGCAGGTTTAGAGTTCAGTTCAAACTTGGGGATGGTCCTTGCCTTCTTATTCTCCCTTTCTCACTCTCCATTTGAGAATGTCTTTGCTGGTCAAAACTTAGGTGATACTGGCCCTTCATAGGAATTTAAGGTTATTGCCGTATTCTGCTGCATGTGCTCTGGAGATCTGTTCATGACGCTGCTAATAATTGGTATTCTATTATTCAGCTTCAGTAATGTACTTGCTTTTAGATAAGAGGGGGTTTTGGTTCTCAGATGATGCATGTAGCAGTAAATTGATTGAAAATCTTTTGTCTTGAAATATTAATTAAGGGTGTTCTGTAAAACATGAACTTCATATTTCTGTGTTTCTGCTGTAAGCTGTGACTAAAGCTGGTGTCGGTTCTGCCTAATTATGGATGTCAGGATCAAAGCTCAAAAAAATGAGTTGTTCCTTGGCTATTCAGTTTATCTTCTAATCCCTTCTAGGTTGTTTGTGTGGTAAATAACTTCAGAGGACGTCAGCCAGAACATGAACATTCTCATATGGATAATATGGCCCAGATGCCCATCATCAGCATACCCCGAGTAGAAAGCCCTTTAGAAAAGGTAATGTCTCACTTTTTTTACACAGTTATATAAAGTGTAGCTTTCCTGGAAGGATGATCCCAAACTAGCTTGACAAGAGTGCCAAGGTAATCAGATTTAAAGTAAGGAGACATGGCAGCGAAGGAGAAAAGGGAAGAATTAATTCAAAGACAGTCCTTGGGAGACTCTTCATGTCACCTCTAAGAACAATTGCTACATATCAGTCCAGTTTACTGTTGTAGCCACTGATGAGTCCATGGAGTTAGGCTGAGTAGATCCAAGACCCTCTTTCCTTGTGTTCCTTGAGTAAGTTGATTAACGCTTTGGCGGAGAGTCCATGGAGCTTGAAGTGCTTAGAAAGAAGATCTAACCCTGGAGCCCAAGGGGTTATGCAATTTAGGTACAAGTGGCGTTTGTACTATTTCTTCAGGGTATGTTCTCAGGCTAGTATAAAGCATGGGATGCAGTCCCTTCTGGATCAGCTGTGGGGCTTTTGTCATCAGGCACATGCTAGCTCCAGGACAGAACACCCACTTGGGAACACTGGGGATGTGACAGCTGTGCTAGCATGGCAAACGACTTAACATGGTAATAATGGAGAGTAACGTGGGTCATACAGTAACATACATAATACAAAAGCCATGAGCTCTTGCCAAAGAAAATGGGATTTTGGACTGCTGCATGCTAGTGGTAGTCTCCTGGGTATGCCAAGACTTTTTGCATAAGTGTCGCGATGTGTTTAAGATTTATTTTAGTTTCCTGTAATAAAAATTTATGTTTTTTGAACATGATATTGTACTGTGTAAGTGTTAGGTAAGATTATGTCTGAACAATTTTATGAGCAAACAAGCATTGAAAATAGGTAGTGTAACCAAATAAAGAGAACATTTTAGGCATTTTTACCAAGGGGAAAGGTTGAACTACTAATGCGAAGTTTGAAAGCAATTCTACTTTTTCTAATACCTTCATCTGTCATTATTTAAAATCTCTTGTGTTATACCCATGTTTGAAGATAGTAAACAGGTCTACACTGGATATGGCACCAAAAGTATGTTTCTATGGCGTTCTTTTAAATCCAAATTACTCCTAATATTTTTTCGTATTAAACATAAGAAGAAATGTTTTTAACCACTTCCCAGTCTCTTAGTCACTTGGAAGTGGTGGAAGTTGTCTTTAGTAAGAATTGCTGCTAGCCCTGGGTTAGTTATGCCTTTCCTTGAAGGGAAAGAAGATTTATTTTCAGAATGATCTAACAGGCCTTTTTGAACCAAATGTGTCTAAGCTACTTCTGCTGATACCTTGTCATAAGGAGGTCAGAGTCTCATTTGCTTGAACAAGCGTTTAGATGATGAATGTGTATCTTCAAAATAATCCATTCAGTAAACTTTCTGTAAAATGTCAAAACAAAGGATGTCAGTTGGCCTAGGACATACCACGTTAATAAGAACATGTCTTATTTATGTGCTAGGCTCTCCTGCAAGACAAGCCATTTCTGTGGCTCAGAAGACATCATAGGGAATAAATGTACATTCTCTGGCTGTTGAAATTTTTTTTTTTTTTTTTCCCCCTCCTGGGGGTAAAGACCTCGTGTCTTTTTGGCTTAGTGTTTCTACCTGATTTGATACCCTCTTGCTAATGATAAAAACAATGTTCTTTTCCTGACACTTGGCCTAGGCAAGATTGAGATGTTGTGGGAAAAGCTATGGGAGAGTGTAGAGGGAGGTGGCCAGGAGTAATGTATGCTCTACTTGAAGTTGACCTCTACCATTTGTGAACTTCCCAGGACTCTCTGAACAAGCTTCTTTCCTTCTGAACTCATGTTCCTATGGCAGTAGAAGGTAGCTGTTTGCTGTCATGGAACTTCTCGCTAGATAATTAAATTGAGGACTGTCCGCAGGATGCTGTCACACTTGGTGAGGTCTCAGTGTATGGGTTCATCTTTGCCTATGTTTCAAAGCCTTTCTCCTTTCTAGACAGACAGGGTGAGATGGGAGGGTGATAACATGGGGACTTTGCTATTTGTTGGGAAATGCTTTCTTCTGTTTCCACTCTCAGAAAGTTTAAATTTGAATTAGCAAATAATTGATCAAAAAGTTACTTACACGTAAGTGCTTTAGGTGTTGAGTTTTTGTGGATTTTTTTTCTTTTTTTAATGTTCAATGTGAAGTTTAGATAGAAGCCAGACCCTGTTAAATAAAAGGCACTAAGAATAGTACTTATGTCAAACTAAGGTCTAAATTGAACCATCTCAATTAAGTACCATCACTACAAGAATTATTAACTTAGTCTTTGCTTTTTAACTCTGTTCTTATTTTACATCCTTTGTTCTTCTCTGGAGAGAGAGAGTGGTGCTAAATAATTTGTGTGCTACTTGCCTTTGCCTGCTTTAGCCGTGTGCAAGTTACTTTTCACTACATTTCAGTTAGGGCTGTTCCAGTTCCGTATTCTGAATGCACATACATTTACATTTGGCTTATTTTAAATCTGTTTTTCCTTATTCTCAATCTGCAAGCTTCTGTGCCAGTATTAAAGACAGTTTACTGTCAGAAATTAGCTACTAAGTGTAGCACGAATCCTGACTGACTGAAGTTATCATGGGCTAAGGCAGTGCTAGCACGAAGCATTATGGGTATCTGGGAGAGAGCAATTCAAAGGTGCTGTCTTAAAGAATGACTTCATTAGAAATGCCTACCAGATTGGACCTCACTCATTGCAATTTTGTTATAAATTCACCCAAAAATGAATAAGCACATGGAGCATCACACAGACCTGGAAGCACCTTATTTTTATGTTTCCAGATCTGCTACTTGCTATTCCAGTGTTTTTTTCCTGCTGGAGAATGAATGCTCTTGGCATACCTGGCATGCTCTCCGTGCTGTCACTGCCTGAGTTCTGGTGGAGGTCAAGAGCTACATTGGAAGTGCACTTCAATAGGAGTAAGTGTACTTGTAATATTCTGAATTGAGCTGCTGCTGCTGCTAATGACAAGGGTAGATCACTGTTTGCATGACACTTTTGTTTAATTGTGGTGCATGCAGATGATTAAGCTGTTCTGCATGGGTATGCACTTCTCATGCACTCAAATAAGCCGTAGTTCCAGAGTGTCTCCTTGAAGAATGCTTGCCAGAGCTGGCTCAGCAATGCAGACTTACTGCTTTCACCTTAACTACACTCATCCTCAGAATTAATGAAAAGGATGAGAGCCAAGAAACCTCATCACTCACCCATCTGCTTCTTTTTCTCTCCTGTCTCTGACCTTCTTCATCTCTTACAAGACAATTTGTATCTTGATTAGCTGGCACTCCCCTACAGAGAGGAGGATCTCTTCCTCCCACAGTCAAGGTTAGAGACTCCTGTTCTTTTGTAAGACTTACTGGGAAATAGGGATATTCTGGGTGGTACCTGGAAGAGTTTAAAGTTCAGCTGCACCCAGTGCAGTCACAGACTATTTTTTTGTTTTTCTATTTTGGGGGAGACTGACACTATTTCATGCTAAAGTCACCTGAAATTGGCCAGGGCTTACAGAGGGCTCATACACGTCTTGTAGTAGCTGCTGAGTCTACTAGCCTTTTTTTTTTTTTTTCCCCCCCCCCCCCCCCAAAGTATTCTGGCTTTGAAAAAAATCCAATACAAACGTACAAAGGGAACATGGAGCATTTTAGAACTACTTGGGGCTGTAGATGCAATGCTGAGGTAAGAAATTTTAGAAGAAAGTGTTAGGTTAGAAGAGGCACTATGGTTGATCTCCTGTGGGATGAGATGATTACTATGTCTGATCATCAGTGCTTTCTGTAGCTGTTCAGTATTACTTATTTGCATAGTGAGTTCCTTACAGTGCTCTGTTTGACAGCTAAGCTGCATTTATCCCCCAAAGTCTCTGCTTGGCCTTCCTTCACAGTGCTGTTTCTGTCAGCAATGCCCAAACCATGTTCCCAAACACAGTCACTGTTCCTTGTTACAATGAGGTTTTTCGTACTCCACCCGTAGGACTGAATCTCCAGGATGACTGTGAACTAGAAACGGATAGTTTAGGGTCTCTCCACCTGCACTGCCCCCCGCCAAGTTTAATGGTGATAAATATTTTGAATTCCTCTCACAATATGTGACTTTCTTGTTGCCTATCATACCAATTGCTAGTGACTATCAGGGTTAATTGTCTCAAAAATCTTGTTGAGTTTGACGCTATGATTCTTGTTCTGTTGTGTGTGCGCCAAAGATAATGGTGGTGATAAAACGTTTTAACGATAGTAAGTATAGTAAGATTCTGATAGTATTTTAAGGCTAGGGAAGCCTTCACTTTCTGTTTTTAAGGTATAATGTTTTTTCTATTTACTTCATCTTGATTATTCACGAGACATAAGCCAGCTTTTTCACAGTGTCAGAAAAGGGTATTTTTAATTTTAATTCTTGGTGTTACTGCTTTTTCCTTGGTCTAAGCATTTTGGTACTAAGAGGTCTTTCATTGGTCTGTGCACTTGTGTACACACAGCTTGGCCTAGAGAGTGCGGTGTGGTCCCTGGGGCTCCCCGGGGAGACTGATGACCTGTCACTGAGCTCACAGGCTAACAACAAATGACAAAGGTGTTTTACCTCATCATACCATGGGCAAATGGGGGAGAGGGTTTGTGTCGATTCTGTTGTTTCAAAATACTGTAGTTGAGAAGTGTCCAAATACTGTTGTGCTTGATGTTCAAAAGTGTGCATAGGTATCCATACAGTGTTTTAGTACATGTATGTATATCTCCAGGACAGCTTGACTGGAGTCCATGTGCTTTCATTAGCTTACAGGCAGGTTTTCGTATCTCTGTGGTCATAATGGTTCTCTCTTGATAATACAGTATGTAAAAGGAGGTATAATGCAACATTGTTTCACACTCAGAAACACATACCCAGGAGAGGCAGCTCATGAAAGACCCTAAGCAATTTTCTTTCAATGTCAAACATTTGAATTTGCATTCATGTCCTACTCTTTTGCTTAAATCTACTTCTCGGCGATTGTACAAGAATTATTTCTGTTTGAATGCAAACTGTGGTCACCACATCTAATGTTCAAATAAAATAATGCCTAAACATAGGAAATGGAACAATATATTCAGTGTGACCTGCTCAAATATATGTGTTGTAGATGTTACAGAATCAAGGTATTAGTAACAATCAAGAAGATCCTTTGCAACGAAACTCCCTCAAAGCACGCATCATTAGGTTCTTCTCCTGGATGTCAGGAACGGACCGTTTTGAACATCTTCGTATAAGGCAATAAACGTATGTGCGCAAGAGCGCACATGAGTGTTTGTGTGTGGAATTGAAGCAAAGGCAGATGCAGTGTGGCGGCAGCGTTCTGTGCAGGTCTGCAGTGTTTTAAATGGGGAATTTCACTTGAACTCATTCTTTTCTCTAAAAATGTGGTTTGTACAAGGAAAGCATAGAATATACTTTGCTGATGCAGAGAATTGTATGATAACATTATTATTGCTGTATGATAAATTATCACTTGTCTGAACTACTACAGTAGTATTTTTCTGTTTAACAAACTCTACTGTATGAAGGACTACAAACAATTTTTCAAATTCCTGTTTTCAAAACCAGAAAAATCTTTTTTAGGATGAAGACTATTTTTGAATATTTCTAACTGTATTCATGAGCAGAACAAAAAAATTTCAGGTAGAAAGTATTTAATAGATATAATGAAAACTGCAAACCACAAAACAGTTGTCATGGATTTTTTTTTTTCAATGCTTTAACAGTATAGAATCGCTTATAAACAGTAATTAATTAAAATCTTAACAGAAGATATACAGATGTGGATCATTTCTCCTCAGAAACCTGCACTCAAGGCTTAGCCTTTGACTTTGATTTTTCTGTTAGTGGTGTGAGAGCACGGTTATGAAGCATGCTTTGTTCATGTGGTGCTGACACCAAGCTGATACTGTCAGTTTAGAAGGAATGATGCAAAAGCTGGTGGGCCTGTCTGTGAAACTGCTGCCGTTGAGCAGACCCTCAGCATATTCTAATTGCCTTGAGTACTGTAGGGTAAATCATTTCCCATGGAGTTGGAGAAGCTGAGGTCTTGTGCATGCTTTTCTGCTTGTCTCCTGCATCTTTGTGAATCTGTTTGCTGGCAGTGGTTAGTATCTCACACCGAACGTTGTCACAGTAAATCTAAGCAGAAGTGAAAGAGCATAGTAAAGAGGGTTGAAATGCAGTTATTCAAGAGGGATGCTGTTAGTTTCTTTTTTTTTCCTGTAAAGAGTCTCAGCAAGGCTTGTTTGTAGTTTTGCCTGAGACGATAATATATGAAAAAGCATGAATAACCAGATAGTTGCATGAACCTCTATCAGTGATTCTTGCCATCAGCGAGTGATTAATTTTGACCTAGTTATTCATCACCCTGCTGAGTCCACTGGAAATGCATTGACAAGTCTTCACTAGGGTCCAAATCAATAGCTCCACAATCGACAGCTTAGCAGTTCTCTCTAAGGTTTTATTGAGGAAGCAGGATTTTCCTCTGTGTTGTTATATCCCATGCTCTGCATGTCCTTCCAAGGACCTGCTCATTTTGGAAGTATAGCTGGCAGGAGTGTGAACCACATTCTCCTTTCCTAAGTAACAGTTATTCAGTCCTGAATTAATGCCACATGAAAGAGCATTCGGTTCTCTGCGTCACAGACAAATGTATGTCGCTTAGAGAAACAGATAGCGTGTAGCAGGACTTGAAAGAATTAATTAGAATAAATAACAAGGAATTTTTTTTCCTCCTATCCCTCATTTTTAAACCATCTTACTTATCAACAAGTGAATAATTTTAGACTGATGATGGTTTAAGTTGACAGGATAATTTTCAGGCCTAAATAAGGAAAAGTAGAGTAAATACTGTGAAGAAAATGTCATAATAGCCTCACAGCAACTCCAGAGTCATTGAGGTTGCCCAATGTATCATCTTTCCTGTACTGAAAGCAGAAGATGGCCAACCAACTATAAAATGCTTTGAAATGTTAATGTTTTGTTTTCTAATTAGAAAATCTGATTTTGCTTTTCTTCTGCAGAATCAAAATCTGGAAACTATGACGTTTGCTAATATTGTTTACTGAAAACATTTTCACAGAAAGTTACACACCGATTCTTTTCTTTTTTTTTTTTCCCTAATGGTTTTAAAAAATCTGCTGGCTATGGTTTAATCATTGTTATTTGTTTAAAATATATTAATTCTATTTTGGAGAAGAATGTACATAAATGCTTACTATTTGGTGGTGTTCTCTTTTGAAAGCTGTCATAAAATACAGCAAGAATATTGCTAGAGCTAAAATGCGTATTATAGGGGAGGGCGAAGAGAGCTCCTCCTCCTGGACGCAGTACAGTTATGGCACAGTGAGAGAGGGAGCAGAGCTGCCAGCCTTGTTTGGAGAGCAGGGAATAAGAGGCAGCTCTCCTGTGCTCTCACTCAGGGTACTTCTAAATTCCTTTCTGTAATGTGAAAATCAAAGATGCCTGCCTGCCTTCCCTCCTGCACAGACTGATAGACAAATATCCAGGCAGTTTAAATAAGAAATAAGAAACAGAAACTTGTGTGGTGGCCACTATTTCTCTCCAGCACCTCCTATGGTGTGCGATAAGGGATTTTCTGAAGGACTTAGAACAACTTCCCTTAAGCAAAAAAGGGAGATCTATCCCACTCTCTGTGAGTTATCTACATCCCTCCTTCCTTTTCAGCTTACACCTCCTCACTTCTGAGTTTGGTCTGCTCCAGGGTGATGAGAGAAATCTGCAGTGCTTTGCATGGTATTCTTTCCCTCTGTGCGTTTTTGTGCTGGGGAACAAACATGTGGCTTAACATCAAGATTCCCTTTATTAATTTTACATATTGCATGTTTTATAAAAAATGGTGGCAGTCAAGGGTACAGTTCCTTTGGATCCTGCACGTCACTGTGCAATTGAGTCTTCATCTACCAAATGTTTGCAGAGGCACTTGCTTAGCTTAGAGCATGAAAAAGTAGCAAAGCTCTTTGGGATGCTGCACTTTTACTGTGGAGAGTCACATGCAGGATATTCATACTCTAATACACATCTTCGTGTTTGTAAGAATCAGCCGATTGAAGGAAGGAAGAGAATAACATTGCAAATGAAGAGGACAGTGTAGTGATTCTGAAAAAGAAATTTTGAATATGAGTTCTGAACTGCTGAATGCAGTTTTGTTGTAGCGTTTTGCTACTGGATTCTGTGCCATCAAACTCATGAGGAGCAATTAATCTTTAAAAAAATGCAACATTAAAATTGTATTAACATTGAAATAGAATATTATAATCCATCAGAAACTGTCATTTTAATTTCTAGGAAATTTGCTTTAAATTATGAATAAAGCAGCAATAAAAGTACAGCTCTCAATTATTCACGTTGTTACTTAATTTTAAAAACCCCATCTAAAACTAAAATATTGTAGAACCATCACAGCTAATTACTTTGTTCAGCATACTTACATATCCAGTCTTTCAGCAGTTAACGAATTACTACGAGAGAGAGTGAGAGCACTGCAGTGAAAACCAGTTTTATCTACATCATCCTGCAATAGTTTCCAAGCGTAAGGCTGTCCATTAGTACAAGAGTCAAATTTTCACAACGGCAACTGATGTCTAACTGTACGGTTTCTGGGTTTTTATCTGTTTGTTTTTCCTTTAACTTGTAGAACCACATCACGGCCTTTGCAGAAGTCACATGATGTTGACGCTGATGTGTATTCACTCCATTGGACTTCATCTCTTTTCACAGCCCACACACGATAATTGCAGTGTATCAAAAATAAGAAATTTTTAGAAGTCCTATTTCTGACTTGATTTTTACATCATTAAAATGATACCAACATTTTGAAGAATTCTTAAATATTAGAACGTCACCTTACTTTTTAGCAAAAATATTAACTGTTTACTTTTTGAATGGAATGGGACAAACTGAGCACTAATTATCTGACAATACCCTCTGTTTTGGCTTCTCATTGTTTTTAATGGTTCATGTACCTATTCCAACAGTACTTCGTATTTTGATTTGACTTCGATTTTTAAAATCTCCATCTTTAATTCAGCATGAACTTGTTTCCATTTGAGGCGATTTCAGTGTATAAAAACTAGACAAATATTATGTTCTGTATGAAAATGCTGTTTGCACATTGTATTATGCCGTATTCCATGTAAGATATCATTCAAACAGTATGTTATATGTAAGACTGGTGCTTCTGCTTTTGAAGAGGAAAAAAATGCCAATTTTTACTGTAATAAGTATTGTATCATAATTAAGAGTTTATTTATTTGGATATTTTCCTGACATAATTGTAGTTGAATTGTTGTTTTGTAGTTCTTGAATGTCTTGGATGATATATATGTATCTAGGTTAAAAGAAATGAAAATAATATAGAAAGTTTGATCATTGATATATTCTTTATTACTAATGATATCCCATGAAAGGTTAAGGGCTCCATTCTTAGCTCAGCATATCTGGTGGGAGGCCATGCTATTCATAAATTGTTTAAACAAATTATTCAAGGAAGCCTGCATCTTCTCATATTTGTTGTACACACTGATATTATGCTGAGAGAATGGATGCTAAGATAAGAAGAGGGTCACTGGCTTAGTGGGATAAGTGCATATGAGTTTCTACTCTCCATTTTCATATTGGAGCTCTTGTGAAAAAAACTAAATGGCCTCATTAATTTTCTGCAGCCTAAGTGACCAAGACGGGCAGACTTTCTCTCTACAAATCTTTCTGTTTCTGTTTGTGTTTCAGGGCCATATTCTTAAAAAATCCACTGTCAGTCTGTGAGGTGTTGATGAATTGATTTTTCTTCAACATCAGGCAATGTTATCATGTTTCTGTTATCGCTGTGAATAATCAAATTGAACCTCCCCTTCAAAAGACAGCCTCGCTGACTATTCATAGTGAAGTTGTCGTATAAAAATTGAGCACCAAATGGATCTGAGTATTGTAGATGCTGAAGATGCTCTTCACATCTGCCAGAAAGTTTTCATCTGGCAACAGCTGATATAATGCTGGCATTATAGACACATTGGAACAATAATGTTCAGTGCAGGCTGTTGAACATTCTAGGCCTTAAATTTTCCACAATGCAGTGTATTTCCTATGCATTAATCATTGTTAGAAGACATTTGAACCAAGGATGTAGAATCAGGTATATAGTTTCTATGATGAATTCTAATGCATTGCCACATAGTCATCCAGACAACACCTGCTTTTTACTTTTTATCTTGACCTGTGCTTTTTCTAAAATGCAACTACCTAAATAGTCCTTGATAAACAGGGCAAGGCCAAGTCATCTGTGAGTGCAATAGAGCATATCTCATGAAGTCATTGTGCTAAGCCGAGAATGAGAGAATAAACAAATACATTGGTGGGGAGGAAAGTCCTAGAATAGAGCCCTTAGCTACAACAATGTTACTTAGGTGACTGAAAATCTACCTTTATTAGACTATCAACTGTGTTTACAAAATTGTAGTAGGTCCAAAGTTTGTATCACCATGTTAGGCACACTTACCCTTCTCTTAGTCTAGCTATTTAGGGTCCAAGGTACTAATGATTTCTCTGTGTGCAGATTTAAATGAAATCTTCACTCATTTTTGCATGGTAGCAAACCTACATTTTTTATATCTGATTTATAAGATTACCAAGAGATTCTTTTATGTTAAAAGAGATGACTCTTTTTCAGTGTACTGTATATCATCAGCTTGTAACTGGTCTCTTTCTCTCTCAGGATCTTTCCCAGTCAAATATTTGGGTTAAATTTATCATATTATCTCTGTGAACCAGCAGTAAGAAAACAAAAAGAGAGACACTCTGCTGTATAATGTATTTTTAAATAAAATAATTTTTCATTCATATGTAGTGTATTATTTTTAGATGTCTGCTCTAGATATATTTTGGTTGATAGTGTACATATAATGAAATGATGATTTTACATCAACTACATTTGGTGATATATTTTCATAATTACTCAGGAATCCCCACAGTTAACTACTTTCCATTAGAGGTGGTTCTGGTGAAATTGAAAAGCAGGAGGGGAAGAACTGTATTGCAGAAAAGTCCACAGCCTGTTGGTGAAGGGCTCTCCCCGGGATGTGGATTGGCCAAGCTCCAGACTTTACTTTGATTGATTTTTCAGAAGTGGTAAGAATTTACCTCTCCCACGCCTGTGCCTCTCCGCTGCCCTGGAGCTTAGGCCTTTGCTCTTCCATTCTGGACCCAAAAAAGCTTTCAGTAGGAACAGTTTGCCAAAACAAAAGTAAATTGGCATTTTCTGACTAAAATGGCTTTTTGGTGGTTGCCTTTAAAAAAATTCCAGTGAGGAGCCTATGACAAGCAAGCATCATCACTCATTCAGGGAATATTCTGGTGCAGAGTGGTTCCTAATAAAAACACTGTGGTTGAACCATTTCAGTGGTTTTGAATGCAGCTGGTTTTAGGATCCTTGTGGACCTTTTCTGCCTGTACTTCAGTGAAACAGCTCCACTCTACTTATGAGATGTTTAAGAAGCATCTCTAATGTTATATGCTGCTATGTTACTAAAAATGGAACTCATAAGGCATATGGGGACACCAGCTGGGCTCGTATCCATACTATTTTAGATTCCTTTATGTGTATTCTGCTGTTTGTTCGTAATCATGAAGTGCATAGGACATACGGTGATAGCATCTGGGCTCACATCTCTTCAGCTTTTAAAAATGTTCATTTTAACAATACGTATTAAAAGAGGATAATGTTGACATTTTTCAGCTGCAGTTTTCCTTGCTATTTGCTGTTGCCTTCTAATTTTGTTGGTGTCCAAGATCACAGTGAATACGACAGTCCGTTTGCACATTATGTTAGCAGAAAGCTTTTTATACTCTTCTGAAGTCTAATTTTGGTATTTCTGAGGCTTGCCATGCAGAAAGTGCAGTGCACTACGTCTTAGGAACAGATAACCTGAGTCTGTTTTGATCAAATACATCCCTGGCCATCTGCATAGCCTTGGCTTTGAGGACACTCAGAAGCATTTGCAGGCGGAAGGGTGAGCAGACCGTCAGAACTCTCAGCGTTGCAGCACCTCCCTCCAAGCACACCAAGGGCATTTTCACCAGGCTCTGCCTCTGACAGCTGACTCAACCCCAACACATCAGACTTCCCTGCTGTACACCAGCACTTTTCATCTCCCCTCAAGTACCTTTGAGAAACTGGACAGATCAGGCAAGATACCACACCCTTGCCCTGAAGTATACTATAAGCACGACTGCAGCTGGAGCCAGCAGCTGCCCAGTTCTCATTTGAAAAGCCGAATAAATGGGGACCTGTCATGGGTTCAGCTTTTGACCTTCTCCTCCACTTTCTGGGCCTTTTGGTTTTCAGGGACTTCCACAAAGGAAAGCTTCACAGTCTGACCACCCACTCAAACCTCTGCTGCATGTCTACGGTTGTGCAAGCTAAAACACAGTGTTGCCTTTTCGTCATCCTCTCCTGTGTGAGAATGGCTGAAAAAGGTCCTTAGGGTTTCCAGGCTTGACCTGATATTCTGGGAAGAGGAAACTGTAAACACCCCAGAAATACTCCTATCAGAGTGGGAGTTGGAAGCCCTAGGGTAACTGTGTGATAAGCCTCGTTGTTTCCTCAGCACTCGCTGAATTGCCATGCCAAGGTATGACTCTAATAGGTTTTCTTTTTATACTAAACTGCCTGTATTCACAGCTGCTCATTGTGAAGCCCCAGTCCACTTCTAACACAGAGGATTAGGTACTTGATTCCCTCCTCAATACTGGAGCTTGTTCTCTCTCTCTCTCTCTCATCCTAGGAAGGCAGCATATCCTGTATGAAACCTGTCCCCAGTGTCTGATGAACACTGTCCCACGCAAGTTCGTGGTAAGATAGATGTCATTAAAGCTAGCTTCAAAGATGCTTAGCTTCCACTTGCTTAAAAGGATATCATGATCCAGGCATGTCAGGTGGTCGCTCTAGCTGGAAGCAATACAACTGGCTAGTGCCCAGGCTCCAGCTATTTTTTTTCTGAAGATGATGGTGACATCCAGTTCTCTGTCTATCATGTCATTGAAGTCAATTTCTTCCATTCCAGTTGTCAGCTCTTGATGCTGCATTTTGCTGTGAGATGTGATATACATGAGGTATAAGGGGAGAGCGGCCGTGTTCATTGGCAGACCATTTTAGGTACCCTTACATGTCTTTTGCTCTTAGTCTGTTATCACTAGCTGTGTAAAACATTTGGAAGTAAGTTAATCTAATTGAGTTAGGACAATTTAATTCTGAATAAAAGTATACCCCCAGAGGTTTTATATGATTCTGAGTAATCCACAGCAAATCTCTAGCTAATTCAGATAAACCGTCCTGAATTGTCCCCTGTGTGGACAGGCCTTTTTTTTTTTTTTTTTCCGGAGGAGCTTTACTGTTGTAATATCTTCCCCTAGTGACTACAGCCAGAACAACGTGCAGCAGCCAGCTTCTGAAGTCATCACATCAGCAGAATAATAATCTCTAAATTATGCACCTGCTAGTGGCTTCAGTAGTGAACTAGGTGCAGAGGACTGCTCTTGTGCTCTGAAAGAGAGTAAGGATGGGCACAATGGTAGTCTGCGACTGTGAAATTACTGAATCCATCCTCGAAGATGGGGCTTCAGTAGAAACCCCAGTAAAGAGTTTTAGTCCCCAGAACCAAATCCTTTGCACCAGTATTCTCATCTGACAATGTTCAGATCTAAATAAATAAATAAAAATAAGAAACCAAACCCTTTTTCTGACAAATCTCTCCCTAAATAACAATGTTATACCTAAATACATACTCTCTGCAGCTACAGGGAACTTGTAGCCTTGCTGGCAATCTTTAATGTGGTTCTCAATGTGAGATCCTTGAGTTGTGAATTCCTAGGATTGATCTGAAGTAGGCAAATAACGCTAGCAAAGAGATTAAACACGTCTACAACTGTGACAGAAAAACTAAAGAGCTACAAAATGAGAAGGGGATGAATTTCAGAAGCAGGGAAGATGCCTTCTTATACTCACTAGCAAATGTGCCAGTTTGAGCTAGATTCGCTATATTTTTCTAACTTAAAATATCAAGACTTTAGTGGATGGCATTTCTACATTTGTGAAATACTGCAGTAGAAGAGGGCTGCTGCTCTTAGTCTGCTGTTTCTGCTAAAAAATCATCTGCTGTTTCATCCTCTTTTGCTACTGTTGCTTAAGGAAGCAGCTACTGTTCCTTCCTTAGCAACCTCTATTTATACAGTAGCAACTGACAACTTAAAGATATTCTGTTCAAATATTCTAAAAATAAGTCCGATGCGATAAGAATGAAGTGCTTGTTTAGGAAAACAAAAGAAAAGCCCCTTTAGCTCTCGTTGAAGACAGGGTACTTGAAGCTAATACTAGTAGGAAACACCAGGAATAAAACAAGACCCTTGCCTTTTGGCAATACTTTGCCTTGTTGTCAAGACAAGGTGAGAGATGTTTTTTGAGATTATAACCCTTTTTTTTC